CCATTATTGCTCGAAAAAGCGAGAAGGACTATTTCTAACCTTATGTGGTCCCGTCTTTTTCGTTCGTCTCACTTCCCTAGCGAAAGTTCTTGAAGCCAAGAAAGTAAGATCTTGAGACACTTCATAGCCAAGAAATGATTCTTGGACTTTCTTGTGCATTTCTTGGGCAAGAATCAACATGTAGATTTTCTTGGGTGTTGCTTGCTGCAACAAACCATGTTGTTTCAAGAAAAGCTATTTTGCTGATTATATGCAAGAGTCGAGAATACGTTTCTTGTAGGTTCAATAAGATCAACGATCGTTGCTTGAAGATCACACCCCACAAAATTGGTACCAGTGGATATTTCGAGAAGAACAGCAGCCACTGACAGATGCGATTGTTCTGCTGCCTTGTCAGTACGCTCGATCTCTTGTTTTGTTTTATCTTTGCATCACTTATTCCTTTTCTCAGAAAAACGACCTAGACCTAAAATGTTCCACTTATTCAGAAGAAGGTAGAATTTCATAGGGAACACATTTTGAGATCTGCTTTGCGTAGTCAGAATCCCTGGGGACGTTTTGGGGGGGAGGGATATCCTTGCATTAGGGTTTCCGATAGTTCCACAACAGACAGAGAGGTCGGTCCTGTACAGAATTGTAGAGACCACTTTGGACTATCTAGCCAATATGTTACAATTGAAAATCCGCGCCTGGTTCAGAACCTGATAACCCCATCGCGTTTCCTTAGTCAGGTATACCAACTGTAAAACCGAGATTTTTCGTGCACAATATATGTGGAGATAGAGTAGAGCCTTCTCTACAAAATGCTGAACAAGCGATGAACCTTTTGAATGTTATGTTTGATATTCAATGATAGTTTAGTAACTTTGGATTAGTTACCCAATTTGCACTATCAGATAAACAACACGACATATTTATATCCTTTTATACGGCTAACGATGTGAATTAGATCAATAATCTTTTTGCCTAGAATTTCCAGCAAATGATAACTGAATGAATTACAGTCTAATATGTGCATGTTCGACTGTTTTATGCGATAGTGGTAGTTGTGAAACTTTTAAAAAGAAAGAAAAGCTAAATTAGTATAGCGTATTTCTACTCCACTTTCTCTCTTTATGTTTGTAATGTAGACACATTCATTTGCATTTTGAAAATGCTTTCTATCTTGAAAATGCTATATGAGAAATATCGAAACATCGACATTAACATAATTGAACAATAAAATGATGTCAAAATTTAAAGCTGCTGTTAACATACTTAGATTTAGCTAAAGTATAGTACGGTAACTAAAAGCACAACAATCCTATAGTTATATATAGTTGCTGTAAAAGATTGAGTCTTCACCAAAACGGTCGCTTCTTGTAATTTGTTTATGTAAGACGTGAAAGCAGTTACACTAATCTCTCATGATCTTGCTGTCTGCTAAGTATCATCAGATCTATAAAAAATTTTGCTGGAAGCATCTTCTGAGCCACACACCTCGAGCAGGATCTAACCTTGGTCAAAATCCGATAAAGGCTAGAGAATTCGAATCAGTCGGAAAACTACAACTTGAGGCTAAGCATATTTCTTAGAATAGGCCGCCAACTCGGTTGTTCTGGGTAAATCCTGATCATTAAACACCAAAACTTTTCAAAAAGTTTTCAAAATTCTGGAACGGGAGCTTATGAGGGTCAAAATTTTTCTTAGATATTTTTGAACAAGAGTCACATATTCGGAATCAACATAAAATTCTGCGACGAATGGGGTATATGACACGTTGGCGAGACCACTTTCCATTTTTCGGAAAACTTCTCGTCCGATCCCACATTTGGAAAATCGAAAATTTTTTTTACTCAGAACTTTCTATAGGTACTTTATTCAATGCAGAATTTCACGCTGATCACGAATAGCAGGTCGAAACTGAAAAAAGGTTAAGTTATTTGAACAGATAAAGCAAGAAATAATCCAAGAGCAAAATTGGTTTTTGTATGAAACCACGTCTGTTGCATAACAATTATATCAATTTCGTCAACTGTTCCAGAAGCAGTTAACGACATAAAAACAATGAGAGCATGTTCTTTAATTGTAAATAAACATGGATTCAGTGAAAATTTCCACTTCCAAATAGGAATTGCTTTTGTTGGTAAACACCATGCTAAAAATTTTCCAATTGGATATGCTAATAAGAAAACTAAGTAATATGAAAATGCATAAGATTGTGTTTGATAATAAAAATATTGATTTACAGTTGATATAAGAACAGTAAATAGAATGCCAATTGTCCAACTTCGAAATGTTGAACATTTCATTTCAAACTGGTCTTTATTTGAAACAATACTGGCTGTTTCTTC